TGCTCACGTACTCTCTTTTCCAGGCGCCTCGTTGTTCGGCCAACGTATCCTGCGCCACAGGAGCAAGTGGAGTAGATGCACATGGATGTGGCCTTCAACGGAAGTCGGTCTTTACTTCCCAATCCTAGGAGGGGATAGTTCGTGAAGAGCACGCGTAAGTTCACCGCGGGGAAAGCGTTTGCGATAGCAGTCTTAAGGCGTCGTCTTACCAGCTCGCTTGTTGCACCTCCTTAGTAAGACAGTCTTATGAATAAGTCTTTCTTTTCTGCGGTTAAGGTGCGTTCGCTAATATTGTTGACCATGAACCTTTCTGGGTATCCGCCTTCAACAAGCGTGTTCTGCAGCTGTTGGAGCTCTGCTTCGAGAGTATCAGGAGAGCAGATCCGTCGTACTCTAGCTGCTAATTCCTGGACTAAATTTTGTCTAATATTTAGGGGAACAAACTGTGATTAGTTTTAGTTTGCTTTAGTTTTTGGTTTATTATTTCCTTTCTCAGTTTAATTTAATTTCTATTTATGTTTTTATTTTAGTACGATACCACCAACGTTAGATAAGTATACTGCTAATATACTCTAAAAACTGAACTAAACGAACACTAAAATTAAACTAATGAGCTAAAAACTTAACTTATACCATTGGCCCTCTAAGACAGAATTTATGGGCTAGGTCTATCTAAGGTGGGCAACTAAATAAACTGCTAAGCTTTTTGACATCAACGGTGGATATACTTAATTAATGCTTGGAAATTAACATATTGTGCTCCGCTGACCGAAACGGATAGGTGAGTTCCCGAAAGGAGTCAGAAAGAAGGATGCAGGAAGGCTAAAACAAGCGTTTTACTTGCGCGACGACCGACCAAATCAACCTGGCTCTGCATTTCTGAGATCAATCGCGTACGTCAAAAGCGTATCGGAAGCCGTCGGTCACTAGTTCACACATCCTGAATTTGAGATTGCCCACAAACCAAAACCAGCTCTCAAGTTCCGAGTTATAGGACCAAAAGGACTGCTGTTACGACAGTAACCCTATGGAGGTGTTTTTCGGATCTGATGTGATTTTGAACCAAGCAACTATGTCGGGAAACATTTACAGACCACTATGGAGGTGGATTTATGTGGAGAAATGCTGCCAGCTCCCAAGTTGCGGATCACTCGACCGGATCCAACCAAACAGTCAAATTCAGTGAAGCGGAAATTCATGTGAGCCGTGAATGCCTTTGATCGTGGTCTGCCGGTCCTCGATTAACAAGTTCAGTAACCTCCCACTTCCATATCGGCTTGAGAGGAGTTACCAATCGCGAGAGTGCCAGACTAGGTTTTTTCTACAAACGCTCCTTCAAACGCTACCGTCAGGTCTGCAACTTAGGAAGACGTTCAAGAAGTGAAGCGAACTTGCCGTTTCCACCTCCAAGGTGAACTTACTGGACAGGTGTGCTTGGTTGACAGCATTAAAGGGTGCCTCTACATTGGTTTTGGTCGTGGCGATCGCGAAGATGTCATCGATGTAGCGATTATACTGTTTTAACTTGTGGATCTGATAATTTAGTTGAAATTTCTCCAGCTTGCCCATGAATATGTCAGCTAGTAGAGGTCCAAGAGGCGTGCCCATAACAATACCTTTTAAAATGCACCCCTTTCCAATAAAAATGTATTGGCCTGACGAGAATTTATCAAAAGTATACGAACGCTTGCCAAACCCGTCTTCTAAATTCTCTGATGGGAATTTTTGCAACTGTGAAACAATTCAAGGATAACTATTTGTTTATTATCATCCTTTAAATTCTGGCATAATACAGCGTTTACAGTGTCTTCATGTGTTCATCCATCAATTAAGGTTCTGTTCGACATTTACATTAAAGTTTTTAAACTAAGGTATACATAAAGGCATTCACCGAAATAATTAGCTTTTGGATAGTTATTCTTAAAAATGGACATATGGATCATATCTAGAAATGCCCAAAAAAGCAAACCACATTGGTGAGTATAAAGAACTTCCGCAAAAACTTTGATATTGGTATTTCAAAGATTTATAAAAAACTTTCTATAATAGGTTACCTTTTTAAAAAGGGCTTTAAGTAGCTATTCAGCTGACGAAATTCCGTGTATATTACCTTCTTCCAAGGTAATATCAAAATGAAATTGGAGACTTTCGAAAATTTTTAATGTACCCGAAGAAAAACTATTCAATTTAAAAGGGCATGGAAGAACTTAATTTTCTCTTTATAACAGAATAATTTTCACTAAAATGGATTACTTCTAGGATCTCTAATAAGCGCTTGATGGCCATTTGTTGAAATAATTATTATTTTCCTGTCTGTCATTATTTCGGTAAATGCTTTTTATGTTTATCTTATTTTAAATATTTTAATGTAAACGTCGAACAGAATCTCAATTGATGGATGAACACATGAAGACACTAAAAACGCTGGAAACTATGCCAAAATTTAAGGGAAGATATTAAATAAGTAGTGATCGATGGATTGTTCTAGAGTTGCAAAAATTCCCATCCGCGGGCATACCATGGTCTGTGCTCTTTAAAGCCTTCATTATTACAAAAGCAGTAACAATCAAAACATCTGTATAAAATGCTCTTTATTTTACCCCTCCCTTTTGGGCAAAAAAACGTGTCTTACGTAAAGGCAAAAAACTAGTGTTCCTGAAGACGACTGGCTGAGAGATTTGGCAGGTTATCCAGCCAAAACCCCAGTGAGCTGGTGAGCACAAGATAGTGTGGCACGCATTTTCAGCCGCAATAGGCTTTCAGGCCCACTTAGGCACTCAGTTCCTGCCGTGTGATTTTTAAACCTTTTAATCGTTCTTGTTTGGCATTAAGGACCACGTAAAGTACTCAGTGCACTCCATTCATAACAATT